AAGAACTCTTCAAGGGCACCTAGAACAAACCCACATTCTAATTAAAAAAAGAAACTGGATTCCGTGTTTATTTCTTAAAGGTTTTTATTAGAGGGTGAACTTTTTATCACTTACAGAGCATTTGGAAATTTTGAAATTACCTAATTGATCTTAAGTTTACACTAATTAATCATGTCAAAGCTTTGTAGTTACCGTTAACAGGATTGAGCCTGCGAGCCAAAGCATTAACACCCACTTAAGGTCTTTAAAAGTGGATTATAAAAGACTTCAAATAATATGTATACTGTATCGTTTTGTCAAGGTTTGTTTTAATTCCAAAGCACAGCCATAACAAAGTGGATAATCAATTCAAGGTGACATTGGTGTCTCCTTATTCAGCCTTGCCAGTTTTAAAGTATTCAGTATAGATAGGCACTGAATCCATGCCAGGAGGGAAATAATTGATTTAACTGATCTAAAAGTGTGTTTGAGCTTTTTTCAGACAAGCTGTCAACACATACATGAAAGCAAGTTTCTAAAAATGCTGTCAGATCCATAATGTTTATACAGCAAAGCAAACAACCTTTGTTATTCCAATTAATGCATCTGCTCATGGAAGAAATTCCAACCAAAATGTTTTATTTTTCTCAGCTACACTGAAAATTACAATGTTGACTCATATTGAAGCAATTTAGAAATGCACTCAGCCACAAAATGAAATGGATTACATTAAGTTTAATATTTGTTACTAGGGTACCTGCTAAAAATTACACCTCAGAGTTATATATTACATTTCCTTGAAAGGGTTTCAAGTATTGTCATAGGAATTGCATCTACTTAGCTTTTTGAGGAAGGTTGGGGCCAGTAATATTATTCTCTCAACCTTACAAGTCAGTAATAATAAATGTCAAGAGATAAAATGTGTTAGGGAAAATAATGTACCAAGATCAAACTACTACTTCATAGTAAACTTCTCTTTTTCCTTTTGTAGTTTCATTCTAAAATAAGGAGTGGAATTGGGAGTTGAATTTCCTAGCAGCTGAAAAGAACTTTCAATATAACTTATTTCAACACTAGTTTTGCCAATAAGATATGAAATGATGTGTTTAAGGACATACTGCTCAAGTGGCTAAGCTGGAGTATAACTCAGGATTTTTGTTTCTAAATATTACGCTTTGTCTATAATACTACAGTACTGCTTATGATCAAGAATAATTATTGAGCTAAATCCAAGAGGGTTTGGGATATTCAACAGGTAAAATGACCCAATTTTTCAACAGATAAATGACATTTAAAAAAAGGGGGGCAGATCATTACAGATTAAAAGAAATATAAGATCCATATCAACAAAAAAGCTAACTGTAGACTTTTAAAATCTTGATTAGTATAAAGCAAATGTAAAATTACATTCTTATGGCAATGGAGGAAAATTGAGTAGAGTGGGAATTCCAAGATAGTAAGGAATTACTGCTAATTTTGTTACATGTGCTAGTGGTAGTATGGCGACGCTAAAAAGAGCCCTTATCTGTTAGAGCTATACACTAATTATCAGTGAAATATTTCATCTGGTTATTTGCTTTAAAACACCCCAGAAAACAAACAAATGAAGAAGTACAAATATAGATTCGTAAATGTTAACAATGCTGATAATCAAGGGTGGGGGTTATTTCTACTCCTTTGATGTATGTTTGACATTTTTCACAATAAAAATTAAAATAGTTATTAAACTCATAATGAATAAAAGACAACATCAACACAGTTCATTAATCACTAAATGCCCAACTTTTCTTTTTTTAATCTGGAGAACAATCACAGAAACACCCTAGCATGAATCTAGAAGGTCCTACACGTTCTCCCTTATGCCAACTTTCAACCTCTCTAATGACTACTGCACCGAGAAGGAAAAGTATGCTTTGTATTTAATATGTCAATTTAAAGAATATGCTATTTTTCCAGATTTAGGGATTTTTGTGTTGTCAGCTTTAAAAACAATTTGTAGTTATGTCCTCTCATTTCAAATAAATATTCACTTTCATACCCAGTCTTGTATTTTTTTTTTTTTTCCTTAAACAGGTCTCCTTCATTGTATAAACTTCAGGTGCCACACAACCTAAGTCCATTTGAGTGCCTATAATTTGCCAGGCACTGTTCTGGGAGCTAAGGATCTGTCAGTGAGCAAAACAGAAAACAAAACAAAACCCTCTCTCTTATGAAGCTTACATTCTAGTTGGGAAAGACACACAAAACAAAAACATAATAAACAAGGAAATGAAATAGTACATGCCATGGAAAACAGCTGAGCGAGGTTAGGAGAATGGAGAGTGCAGGGCAGGGAGTGTGGGTGAGCTGTAAGTACAATGTTAAATAAGGTAGTCAGAGTAGGGCAGTCTCCCAGAGAAGGTGACTCTGAGCAGTCTTGAAGGACTTGGTTATTGAGAATACCAGTGGAATCTAGCATAGCATATTAGTTTAGCGGCACTCCATTATTCTTATTCAGGTCCTGCTTTAGAGTATTTGAAGGACCCAGTACCAGTGGGGAAAACAATAACAGCTGGATCAGGATTAAGGACTGAATGGCTGCCGGGGGCACTGCTCATAGAGATTGGTATTAAAGAATATAGGGCACTGTAACATCACTGAAAAATAATAAAACAGGGAATATGATATTTACCACAACATCTCTGATAGTGGGGGTGAGACCTGCAAGTACTGCCGGGTAGGATGAGGCAATAGGCAATCGCACTTGAAATGTATGGACAATAGAAAACTGCTTGGTGCCACAACAGCGCTTCCGCACTCTTCTCGCCCCTTAGCATTCCATCCTGCAGCCCAGCAGAAGTAGGAAGACAGCTAAAAATATAAGCTTAAAGTATACATCCTGGGCCTGCTCTACAAATAATAACTATGAGAATGGGAGTAGGATTGTAAAAATATTAAATGTTCTTAGAGCATCATATTCGTTTGTTTTTCTTTGGCAGCTGTGGTGTAGTTGAAAGAGGACAAGTCAGAAGTGGATGCAAGCTCTAAGTCTGCCTCTTTAGCGGATTAGCCTTGGGCAAATCAGAAAGTGAGAAACTAAATTTTATCATCTGTAAAATGGGGCCAATCACAAATTTCTTTTATGGCAGTCAAATGTGTTTAAACGAATTTTTTAATCAACAAAGTATCATTTACTTGCTGACATAATAATAAAGCCACATGGTAGTTCACGGTTGTTAGGTAAGGATCACAGTTAAGAGGTACATAATCACTTAAGTTGTAATTATCAATGAGTAGGGAAGAGAGCATGTAAAATGCTTTCAAATCTCTATTATCTGCCTTCATATTGATTCAAGAAAGCAATCTAACAGACTTTTCAACCTCTTTCCGGGGTCTACCCCAACCAGAAACAGACATATCTCAAAAGCAAAAACAGGTATCTTGGTTTTTTTTTTTTTTTTACTAGCTTGAAGGCATACTGCAGGAGTGACCCTTAACCAACGGAAGGTTCAGCACCAGAAATAACGATTTTCTCCAAATTGCCAGCTAGGTAGAGTGATTCTTTTTTTTTTTTTAAATTTATTTATGATATCAGAGAGAGAGAGAGAGAGAGAGAGAGAGAGAGAGAGAGAGGCAGAGACACAGGCAGAGGGAGAAGCAGGCTCCATGCACCGGGAGACCGACGTGGGATTCGATCCCGGGTCTCCAGGATCGCGCCCTGGGCCAAAGGCAGGCGCCAAACCGCTGCGCCACCCAGGGATCCCCAGGTAGAGTGATTCTTAAATGATACTCCTCGTCAGCAAGAAAGATGATCCCAAGAATGAACAAAAATAGCCTCTGTTCAACAGCTGTGATATTTATAATTTATAAGCTGTGATGGTCTCTCATCATCAGATCATCTTGGAGTCCAAACAAGAACGTATGTGTGCCGTTTGTATATTTACCAGCCCTCAGAAAACAAACTTTCACTATGTCTTCTTCTCTCTGATCGATGCATTCCTCTCTTTACGTACGAGCAGCACGATAAAAAGGCTTCTTGTTTGCGGAGCATGACCTTGAAACGTTAGTGTCATGCACGATGTTAAAAATGTTCAACTAATTCTTAAACGTTTATTTCCGATCAGCAAATACTTTTTAAGCACTGAAAGGCAACATTGAGGACTGGGACGGCACGGAAGGCAGAAAGGGAAGGAGGGTGGCAGAGATCATCAATGCGTTACTAAATTCTTGTCTTTCCCGCTCCGCCAGGGTGGGCGTCAGGCTTCCAGTTCGCTGCTGCCGTTCCTCCCCCACTTGCATTCTTCTTTAACCGGTGCCCTTCTATTGCCCTTGCTCTTCACCATTCTCTTGGTGCTGCCCTTTGTAGCTTATTCGCTCTGCTCGCTACATTGTTTCCCTTTTCATTTCTGTCGCTGTCTCTCCCTCGTGCAGCTGCGTGGCCCAGCTGTTCCTACACTTTGCACCAGCTTGTGCGGCGGGACACTCGAGCCAATACCGTGACGGTGCTTTGCTGCAGAACTTCGTGCAAATTCGGAAGGTGAGCTCTGGAGGAGGAGAGGACCGAGCGTCGTCACAGGTGTGGAACGGGGCGGCGCGCTCCGTGTGCCGGCACCTGCCTCGCAAGTCCCCCGCCCGGGGCCCGAGACGCCTCCTCCCGAGCGCTCGGCGCACCCGCCTGGGCTCGAGGCCCTTCCCCGCAGCCGCCTCCGCCGGCTCCCCCGACACCCACGCGCGAGTCTTCACGTCCCTCTCGGCGCACGCTTCAGGCCCCGCTGCTCTTCCAATTCCGCTCCCCGCCCCCTTGGGCCCGGCTCGGCGGCTCCCGCGTCCCTCCCGTCCCCGCCCCTTCCCCGCGCGGCTTCAGTCCCGGCGGCCGCGAAGCCCGCCCCCGCGCTCGGCGCCCCCGCAGACCCGGGCGCGTCCGCTCGCCGCCCCTCCCCCGCGCACCTGGCGGCGCCCGCCCCCCCCCGCCGCGCCCCGCCCCCGGCCCCCGCCCCCCGCGGGCCCGCTGCACTGTGGGTAGGCGGCGGCGGCGGCTGCACTGGAGCTGAGGAGCCGGCGGCGGGCGAGGCTGCGCGCGCCGATCATGGCCGAGAAGCAGAAGCACGACGGGCGGGTGAAGATCGGCCACTACGTGCTGGGCGACACGCTGGGCGTCGGCACCTTCGGCAAAGTGAAGAGTTGAGTGGGCGCCCGGGGCCGGCGCGGGGCTGTCGGCTCGCGGGAGGCCGGGCGGAGCGGTGGGCGCGGGCCTGGCGGCAGGTGCAGCGGGCCCGGGAGCCCGCGAGCCCGCGAGGGCGGCGAGGGCGGCGGCGGCGGCGGCGTTAGGGACCTCGGCGCCGGGGCGGGGGGCGGGGGGCGTGCGCAGGCCCGGGGGCTCCCCGCGGGCAGCCGCGGCTCCAGCGCGCCGGCTGCCCTGCCGGGGCCGTACGTGTCAGCTCACGCTCGGTGCAGGTGTCGGCCTCACCTGCAAGGTGGGAAAGCGGAGCCCCCTCCCCCCCCAGGTGTGGGAAGGTGCCCAAGGTCACACAGAAAGAGGCAGAACCGGGAGGGAGCGTAAAATGTCTTCCAGTTCTGGCCAGGCCGGGCCGGGGAGGTGGTCCGTGCGGCCCTACTCGGGGGGGTCGGCGGGGTCGGGGGGTCGGGGGGGGGGCGCGAGCGCAGGTGGTCCGTGCGGCCCTACTCGGGGGGGGCGGAGGAGTCGGGGGGGCGCGAGCGCAGGTGGTCCGTGCGGCCCTACTCGGGGGGGTCGGGGGGGCGCGAGCGCAGGTGGTCCGTGCGGCCCTACTCGGGGGGGTCGGCGGGGTCGGGGGGTCGGGGGGGGGCGCGAGCGCAGGTGGTCCGTGCGGCCCTACTCGGGGGCGGGGCGGAGGAGTCGGGGGGGCGCGAGCGCAGGTGGTCCGTGCGGCCCTACTCGGGGGGGTCGGGGGGGCGCGAGCGCAGGTGGTCCGTGCGGCCCTACTCGGGGGGGGGCGGGGGAGTCGGGGGGGCGCGAGCGCAGGTGGTCCGTGCGGCCCTACTCGGGGGGGGGCGGGGGAGTCGGGGGGGCGCGAGCGCAGGTGGTCCGTGCGGCCCTACTGGGGGGGGCGGGGGAGTCGGGGGGGGGCGCGAGCGCAGGTGGTCCGTGCGGCCCTACTCGGGGGGGGGCGGGGGAGTCGGGGGGGCGCGAGCGCAGGTGGTCCGTGCGGCCCTACTGGGGGGGGGGCGGGGGAGTCGGGGGGGCGCGAGCGCAGGTGGTCCGTGCGGCCCTACTGGGGGGGGCGGGGGAGTCGGGGGGGGCGCGAGCGCAGGTGGTCCGTGCGGCCCTACTCGGGGTGTCGGGGGGACGGGGAGGGCGCGAGCGCAGGTGGTCCGTGCGGCCCTACTCGGGGGGGGGGCGGGGGAGTCGGGGGGGGGTGCGAGCGCAGGTGGTCCGTGCGGCCCTACTTGGGGGGGGGGCGGGGGCGTGAGCACGGGAAGGCCGCCGCGTCGGCTCTGGGGCTCGGTTGGAACCGGAGGTGCGAGGGGGCGCTCGACCCAGGGGGAGAAGCCTCGCAAGGCTCCCGGCGCGAGGGCGGGGGCCGGGGGGGGGGGGTCCTGGGTCCCGGGTCCCGGGCCGCGGAGCTTGCGGGGCCGCGGAGGCCGGACCTGCTAAGGCGGGCTCCGCGGAGGTCTCCTTTTCGGGCGTGGGGATCCCATTTTGGGGGGTAGGAAAAAACAGGTTGCGTCTGAGTATTTTTAACTTCATTACTAGCGAGGAAGTGAACTTTCCTTTTTTTTTTTTTTTTTAATCTATGGCTGTTAATAAATCACATGGGATTTAATCTGCCCTCTCTCCTGAACTAGAGGCAGTTTATTAATGCTTTACGTTTGACGGTTGTAAATCCAGAATTATAAGTCAAACATTAGCTTCCCCCTTTTTAAAATTTTTATTTATTTTCATTTTTTAAAGATTTTATTTATTTATTCATGAGACACACAGAGAGAGAGAGAGAGGCAGAGACACAGGCAGAGGGAGAAGCAGGCTCCATGCAGGGAGCCCGACGTGGGACTCGATCCCGGGACTCCAGGTCACGCCCTGGGCTGAAGGCGGCGCTAAACTGCTGAGGCACCTGGGCTGCCCCCCCCCCCTTTTTTTTTTTACTTTTTGTTGTAAAAATGTTGAGTAGACAGGCTGGAGATTTTACTCCCAGGCCTCTCTTTCTTTGTAAAATTCGTGTTTTAACCTCTCAACTTCTGGGTTTTTAAACAAGTAGAAGGACCTGGTGCATTCCTGTGGCAAAGGTCAGCTCCTATTTGCTTCCACGTATCTGATGCTCTTCTATTCGGAAAACATTTACTGAGCACCTACATAGTGCTAGGTACTGTTCTAGGCAATGGGGATACAGTAAGGAACAAAACCACATTAAAATCTTTCCATATGTGGAGCGTGTATTCCAGTAGGGGAACACAAAACATAAGCGGAAATATATGTAAAACACGTAGCATGTTTAATGCTACTGAGAAAAATGAATGCGGGAAGGGAAAATGCGTTTCTGTGAGGTTAACAATTTTCAGTAAGGTGATCAGGCAAGGTTTGACAGACAGGGTGGTATTTGTGTAAAGACCTGAAACGTTGATAGGAATTTTGAAGTCCTGTGTGGGCCATAAAGTCCTGTGGTATGTATGAAAGACTTCGTAAATGGAGTGGATAGCTAAGAGAATATATTGATAATGAATATAGGAAGATCCAGGCATTAGGTTAATGCCTGAAAGGTCACTTACCATTAAATATTATTATGAGGACTACTGTGGTATGACATTATACAGTTACTCAAGCAAAACATTCTTTGCCATCTGGGCATGTACACTCTCAAAGTTATATAACCTACCCTGCATCCTTTTCAAACTGTTGAAATGTTTGTGTTTTTGAATTCATGTACTGTAATCTGAATGTAGACTAAAACACCCATCAGATCAGTTGGCCCATTGTCAAAGAACAGCGTAAATCTCTTTTGTATATACTCTTGTGCTGTTTCCAGGCACTGGCTTCTTAAAATATAAACCAATGGAAGCTACATTTGTTTATGAGAACTCCTTTTCTTGGAAGACCCAGTCTAATGAGCAGCCAATCAGAGGGCTGTTTTGAACACTCTGTTAGAGCCTCTCTAAAGTTATGCTGTGATTTCCCATCCAGGATTAGAATTAGTACCATTGTTCAGTAAAAATGATGGGAGTTGCTACAGTTCAGTTATTTAATTCTTCAGGGAACAAGAAACAAGTACATGTATTTTAAAAAGCATATATTTTAAAAAATATACCTTTATTGATCATTCATCCATTCCAACTGTACAATGCAATGATTTTTAGTAACTTTACTGAATGATGCAACCATCATCCTAGATGCAACCAACATCAACTTTAAGACATTTTGGGCAGCCTGGATGGCTCAGCGGTTTAGCACCGCCTTCAGCCCAGGGTGTGATCCTGGGGTCCCGGGATCAAGTCCCACATCGGGCTCCCTACATGGAGCCTGCTTCTCCCTCTCCCTGTGTCTCTGCCTCTCTCTCTGTGTGTGTCTCATGAATAAATACATAAAGTCTTCAAAAAAAAAAAGGCAATTTTATCACCACAGTAAGATCCTTCATGCTCATTTACAGTTCATCTTTGTTCCCACCGCCAGCTTCAGGAAACCCTTAATCTGTTTTCTGTCTGTATAAACTTGTTTTCTCTGGACACTTCTGATAAATGGGCTCCTTCAGTATGAAGTCTTTCATATTTACTACTTTAGCAGTGTTTTTAGATTTATGGATGAGGCAGCATTTGTCAATTGTTCATTCCTTTTTATTGCTGAATAATACTCCATTGCATGGATATGCTGCCTTTTGTCTATACATTCACCAGTTGTTTTCAGTTTGGGGCTGTTAAAAGTAATGCTACCACAAATATTTGCAACCAAGTGTTTGGGCACATGTTTTCATGTATCTTGGTCAGTACATAGGAGAAGAATTACTACGTCATATTATAATTTCATGTTTAGGTTTTTGAGAAACTGCAGACTATTTTTCAAAAGTAGCCAACCAGCAGTGGATGAGGGTTCTCCTTTCTCTGCATTGTCACCATTTGTTGGAATCTGTTTTAAAGGTATTCTAACGGGTGTGAAATAATGTCACATTGTGGCTTTATTTGCATTTCCTAATGATTAATGATTAATGATACTAGACATCTTCAGGTATTTATTAGCCATTCATCTATCTTCTTGGGGGAGATGTCTGTTCATATCTTTTGTCATCTTATGAACTGAATTAAAATAATTCTTTGTAAATTCTGGAATTGAGTCCCTTATTAGATGTTTGTAAATATTTTCTCCCAATCGTGCTCGCTTCAGCAGCACATATAATAACATTATCTCCCAATCTGTGTGGCATTTCATTTTCTTAATGGTATCTTTTCAAGTATTAAAGTTTTGAATTTTCATGAGGTCCAATTTATTGATTTCTTTTTTATGGACCTTGCTTTTGGTGTTATTTCCCAGAAATCTTTGCTTTAGGTTTCAAGGATTTTCTCTTAACTTTGTCTTCTAAATTTTTTTTAATGTCTTCTAAATTTTATTTAGCCCTTACATTTAAGGGTATGACTCATTTTGAGTTAATTTTTGAGTATTGTATGAGATCCTAAAATCAGCTTTTTGAATGAATGTCTAATTGTCCCAGCACAGTTGAAATGAATGTGTTGAAAACACATGCATTTGTAATTGCAATATAGATTTAGACTTAGTAAAGTTAATTTCTACTGAAAAACATAGTAATAGATGATTTAATTTTACATAGCTATAAAAACATGGAGATGGAGAAGTAAGTAGCATTTTTTTGTGTTTTCTCTTAATTGTTAGGCTAATTATAGATTTTTGAAAATTTAACTTGTTGATATAACAATTCATAGACCAAAGTTAGGTATAATAAATGAAAATTCAGAATGACATAACTTTCATTTGATAGCATTTGTTTCAAGTTATTTTTATTTTTTAAAAGGATTTTATTTATTTGATAAAGAACACAAGCAGAGGGTAGTGGGAGAGGGAGAGGGAGAAGCAGGCTCACCTTTGATCAGGGAGTTGAACACAGGACTCTATCCTAGGCCCCGGGGATTATGACTTAAGCCGAAAGCAGACACTTAACTGACTGAGCCACCCAGATGCCCCTCAAGTTTTTTTTTAAAAGTA